ACTTAGAAATCGAACGAACCGCGAAACGACTTAGGAAACAAGCCAAACTTCGAAAGAGGTTAGGCGAGGGAACTTCGTCACCGGGAGTAAATATCTAGCAAGATATTGACCTCTCTAGCGATTCGGGCGACGAAAAAGAAGAAAAGCTAAAAAAGAAAAAGGAAGACGAGTTGGAAGTCAAGACGGAAGAAATGGAGGAGCGGACTTTCCGAGAGCTCGCGACACAAGACGTTGCTCAGGTTCCTATATGCATCAGGTATCCTCAAGGTAACGATAATTTTGTTCTAAAGACTGGTTTGGTCCATCTCCTACCTACTTATCATGGTTTAGAGAATGAGGACCCGAATAAGCACTTAAAAGAATTTCATGTTGTCTGTCTAAGCATGAAACCCAATGAGGTTTYYGAGGACCTTATAAAGTTAAAGGCATTCCCTTTCTCTTTAAAGGATCGTGCTACGGATTGGCTCTATTCGTTACCGCCCGGTTCGGTAACGACTTGGAACCAAATGGCGAGGTTATTTCTAGATAAATTCTTTCCCGCCTCCCGAGCCGCTAACCTCCGTAGAGAGATTTGTAGCATTAAGCAACGAGATGTTGAGACTCTCCATGAATATTGGGAGAGATTCAAGCATCTTTGTGTGAGTTGCCCACAACACGGGATCTCGGACCAATTGCTTCTACAATATTTCTATGAGGGACTYCTTCCTTTGGATAGGAAGATGATTGATGCCGCAAGTGGTGGAGCCATGTTTAATAAGACCCCAACCGAGGTTAGAGCTCTAATTAGCACTATGGCCGAAAACTCCCAACAYTTTAGTGTTAGGAGTGACATGAGAAGAGAGCCACAAAAGGCGAATGAGGTCAATGTTTCTAGTATTGAAAGTCGCTTATTTGATCTTACTAACATGGTTAAGCAGCTTGTAGTAGGAAAAKAGCAGGTGAAAGCTTGTGGTATCTGTTTAGGAACGGGCCATCCAACCGATGCGTGCCCGCAACTTCAAGAAGATGTGTTTGTGACGGCCGAAGACGTGAACGCRGTAKGAGGTTTCCAAGGTCAGCCACAACAACAAAGGTATTTTRACAATACCTTTGGCAACCAAAGACCTCCTCAATTCCAGAATTTTGTTCAAAGGCCGCCACAACAACAGTTTCAACAAGGAGCTCCATTCAATCCAAATCAAGCTACTTCTAGTGGCTCAGGTATGTCCCTTGAAGACATTGTTAAAAATCTAGCCACTAACACTCTTCAATTMCAAYAGAAAACGGAGGCTAGTATTCAAAATTTGGGAGCTCAAATGACACAGCTTGCAACTGCTGTGAGCCGATTGGAATCTCGAGGGAAGCTGCCCTCCCAAACGGAAACACCTCCGAAGTTGAATGTGAGTATGATGACCTTGAAGAGTGAGAAGAAAGCTGGTAGAGCAAGAATGAGAAATGTTATTGAAGAGGAGACGCCCGAATTTGCCATCCCACCACCGTTTCCCGAAAGGTTTAGATAACTAAAGGAGTACAAGTTGGAAGYGACTCCCGAGAAGATTGAAGACATATCTCAAACAGTTCAAGAAGCAGATGGTGATGATGAGCAAGAAGCCATTGCGGAGAAAGAAGAGAAAGTTGTTGAAGTAGAAGACACCTTAAGGGTCGTGCAACCAAAGCTACCATCTAAATTCGAGGATCCAGGTGAGTTTTCTATTCCATGTAAGATAGGCGATTTTGGCATTGACAAGGCCATCTTAGACTTAGGCTCGACTATAAACATCATGCCATTGTCGATTTTTAACTGTTTGAATATCGGTCCCTTGAAAGTGACCAATTCACTTATCCAATTATCGGATGGCCATGATGTACCCCCTAAGGGRATGGTAGAGGATGTTTTGATTCAAGTGAACGGATTAGTGTTCCTTGTAGATTTTTATGTGCTTGACATAGGAGCGGGTAGCCCCGCAATTTATGATGAAATTGTCTTAGGGAGACCATTTATGAAAACATCCAAAACCATCATTGATTTAGATGAAGATACCGTTACTATGGAGGTTGAGGATAGAAAAGTTGCATTTATTGCTAATTCTTTAAATGAACACCTTAA